AAGATCAATAGTTCAATTGATAGATATTGAGATTCTAAACTGTATTAGGGATAGATTGAGTAGGGTTAGCATTTGATTTAGGATCTAAAGTTTGATTTAACGATTGATCTAGGATTTGATTTAAGTTTTATGGTTTTTCTAAGATTTGATGTAGGATTTGATTTTGGATTTAGAATTTGTATAGAGATTGATTTAAGGTTTAATTTAGGATCTAAGATTTGATCCAGGATTTGGTTTAGGATCTAAAGTTTGATCTAGGATTTGGTTTAGGATTTGTTTAAGATTTGATTGAAGTCTATTATAGTTTCAACTAGGATTAAATTAAAACTTAGTTGAGATTTATTTAAGATATATTTGTGATTATTTTAATATTTTTTAGGACTTCTTAAGAAATCTTTTAAGATTTATTGTGGATTTTTTTTTAATTATTTTAAGATTTCTTATTTTTTCTTTTGTAATTTCTTTAAGATTTCTTTTGAATTTGATTAAAGCTTATTTAGCATTTTTAAGATTTAATTAGAATTTATTTAATATTCTATTAGAATTAAGATTTTAGTCTTGTAATTTCTATTCTACCTTCTAGAGCAAGGTGCTTTGTGCACTTTCAAGCAATACTTCATGTAATACGACAACACAAACTCTGATCTTCTTTCATAGGCATAGGATTAGTATTTTCTTAATTTTCATTAGTAATGTCTAAAATTTCTATTCTAAAAGTATTGACCATCAATATTAAAAAATTCAATAATTTGTTTAAAGGTGAATAATTCATAACCTTCAAAATACAATAATAGAAGTGGAGTAATTCACTCTCTTTTAAAATAAGATAAGAACAATGAGTTAAGACTCTTATCAAATTCTTAAGGACATAAATCTCAAAGAACTAAAATTTCAATATATTCTTATGTTACTTGGAAAGAATACAAAATTACTTGAAGATAATATAATATTAAACAAGAATGGCTATTATCAAAGAAAAGAAGACTAGAAAGTCTTGGAACAAGACTAAAGGCTAGAACGGTATTGATAAGAGTAAAGAAGGCTTTACTCTTGCCTCCAGATATATTCTTAAGTAAGAACTTTGTAGCAAAGTCCTATAGGACCTCCAAAATATGTTGACTTCACAAGATACATATCTTAACTTATAAGGTAAGTTTTTTATATGTATGCCACATAATTGGATTATTTTGCAAGCTACCAACACGTCGTTAACTTATTGACTAAATTTCTAACCTACCAATCATCTACAAACACATATTAAAATAAGACCAATCTAATTCAAAAATTTAAGATCCTTCAAATCTATAGTAACATAAAGCCTCATTACAAAGTAAGACAAAATAGTCCAAAAAAAAATTGAATGGAATTAAAAAAAATTAATAAAAATAGGACATAAAAGATAAAACTGAGAAAATGGAAATAAAATATAACAGAATTGAACAGAAGAATACAAAACCAAATTTTACTAAGAAAAAGGGTCCACAGACATACCTAATCAAATGCCCCAAAAAACCTTGGCTAGTCCTATTTATACTTTATTCTACCACCCTGGACTTTCTAGAATGTTTATAGATAATAGACTCCACTTAGATAACCGCCTTAAATTCCTTTTAGAAGGTTCTACATTAAGCCCTATCTAGATAACCACTCTCAACCTTTTTTAGAAGGTTCCATGGTAGGCTCCATCTAGATAAGTATCCTAAATTCTTTTTAAAATATTCTACAATGGATCCTACTTAGTCCACTAACCTAACCTCAATTCTAAAAACGTCCATAATTTTAACTATCTATTCCTATGTGTCAATAATATAAATATCTTATCTATATCCTATTACATATATAAAGTCAAAACAATGTCTATGAAGTTTCTAAGAAGCTTATTAAAAAAAATATTATGTAATAAATCTATTTTTATCTACTTCTAATTAATCACATAGATGAATATTAGAGTAAATATGTATGTTTGTAACAATAAGTTGGACGTGTCTTAAATGACCTATAATATGTTGCAATATAGCTTCTTAATTACATGGCATATATGAAGGTAAGAGTAAAGAATGTTTGATTTTTATCAATATTTTTTTGGTTCTTAGCCTTAATTTAAGAATCTTTATTTTTTACCAATAATTATTATATTTTTAATATTATAACTATTTTTAAACAAATATTTATTATTTTATGGTGACACAATAGTATATTGATGCTTTAATTGTTTTTTTATTTATGTTCTTGACAACACTCAAGAGATTTCATAAAAATAAGAAGATTAATTAGAAGTAAAATATATATGTTTATAAATTTAATATAATATTTAATAATGTTATAAAATAATAAATCTTTTTTATTGATTTATATTATCTATATGTCCAAAAAAAAATGATTGAATATTTCTTATACCAACCATATTTCTTAAATTCTTGCTCTCTATTTCTATTGTTTTTTATCCCACAAACTAAATGTCATATTGCTCCAATCTTAAAATCCACATTCTTAACCTTAATTTGCTCATATACAATCTATTATAAATCTCTTGTAATATTCTATACTTGATCTATAATATAACTTTCATTGCATTATTGCAAATCTTGTTATCTTAGATATATCTATAGTTATCTAAATAATATGAATAAATAGGATTAAATAAAAGTAGATTAATTTGATAATACCTTGTGGAAAAGCTTTCTAGAAACTTCATAGATGTGGTTTTACTTTTACACATGTCTACAAGTGATTACTAGGTTAGAAACTTGTCCAATAAATTAGCCACATGTTACATGTATTGGTAATTTTGGATACAAATTAATGATTTGGCACTTATATAAGAAACTTGCCTTGCAAGTTAAGACATATGACTTGCAAATTAAATATATGTTAGATGTCCTATAGAACATTACTACATAGCTCTTAGATAGATAATATATGTAGAAGGAAGAATGAAGCCTTCTTCACTCTTGTCAATTCCTTTCTTATTTCTAATCTAATTTCAAGAGTCTCTAGTTTTCTAGCCTTTGGCAGTAGTCATTTCAATGTCTTATTAAATATATTTACTTTCTTATTTCTAATTTTTCATCTTTCTTTGATTCATTTTTCAATTGTTTACATATCTTCTTAGAATTCTTATCCTTGATACTTGACTAGCAAATTCTATACAATCCAAATGGAACTCTATTTTGCAACAAATATATTAAAGTTTTTTATACCATTGTATTAATCTAATGACTTTAGAAATAATATGCTATAAAAAATTATTTTTTAGCAATCTCAACTCTCTCAATAATATTAAATCTTATCAAATCCTAAATCTTCAATCCTATAAAATTCTAATACATCACAAAAATAATCCATAAAAAATCCTAAATACTAATTAATAAACTATAATAAAATAATTTTTAAAATTTGATCATTATATTTATTTATTTATTTTTATTTATTTCAATAATTTAAATATTTAAAATAAATTTGATTTATAAACTAACAAATTTTATAATAAAATCTTCAATAATATTACTTTATCTTCTTTTCTACATTTAATGAAGATTCTTAACAATTACCTCTACTTATTGGTTTCTACTCAAATTTAATATAGAACTTGATTTCATTGTTATTAATAAGTGTCCTATTATTTAGCTTCATCATATCTATAGACTTTTAGATATCTTAGAAATCCAAATCAATTATGAATTGCCAAATTTTAATATCTTATTATTTATATGGCCAAGGATCTTTCAATTACACAATTATGATAATATAGAACTTATTAAACATATATCAATCTTATATTCATACAATAACAAAAAAATAATTATATATCAAGTACTAAATATCAAAACTAAACTAAAACTCAATACTATATTATCATCAAGTTTGAATTATTATAACATATTATAGCAAACAATTCTTAATTTTGATTTTTTTTTTTTAAAGGTCTTTTATAATTCAAAAATTCTTTAAAAACTTAACACCTCTTAAATCCTCTTCAAACTAGCTTTCTAACTACATCTCCCAATCTCCAAAAAAAAGACCCTTCTTTAGCTTGGGCTCTTTTTTTTTGTGCCTCAAGGTTGTATTTTGATCATTTCTTATAAATAATCTTTGTTTTGATTTCAATTATAAGATTTTTATAATTAATTTTTTAAGTAATAAGTTTCATATATATATATATATATATATATATATATTTCTATTTCTATTTCTATTAAATTTATAAAATAATTTAATATTTATGAAATATAATATTAAAAAATAATTATCCAAATATAATTTTTAATTAAATATTTATCTTCAAATTAATCAAAAGGTTGATTTTATTTATTTATTTATATCTTTATTTTCCAATGCAATTCTTAATGACATATTTTATTTTGTATAATTTAAGTTTTACACATGTGATAAAAATCTTAATATTTAGGTGATTAAAAGCACATAAAATTAGCAATGTCTTGAACATCCACATGTACTAGTTCAAAAATTGAAATATTACATATCAGAAGTGACATAGTTGCTTTTATAAAAATTAGAAAATACTTTTTAAGAATAAAATAATAGATAATCAAATAAACAATTACTTAGTTCCTCTATCTATAAACAAAAAAATAAAATAAAATAAAATAATGATATACAATTCTTACTTCTATGTATTATTATATGTCTTTGATTTAATTCAGTATCTTTCAAAGAATCTATAACTTTTCAATAAACATATTTGAACCATTTGATACAATTAAAACTTTGTAATATTGAATTAAATGTATTATATGAATACAAACATAAAAACTCACAAAACATAACAACTATATGTATCCATATGTGTGTGTAGATACATATATATATATATATATATGAAATTAAGATTTATATGAATTAATATTGAAAATCACACGTGTGTGTGCTCACAAGCACTTCATCGACTACTCAGTAATCCAAAAAACCCATTTCAATTCCAATCTCTTATTACGTTAAAATAAAAATGAAGCATTGTAGAATAAATCCGCTACTCTTATCGTCTTACTCTGCATATAAAGTGTGTTTTCGAGGTTTTATCAAACAATTGCGCCGACAAAGTCGATCTCCGACGACGAAGTTCGGGGATGCGAGGGACGATTTTCCGGGCTGGGCAGTCTCAAATCGCATGCTCTCACATGCACACAATTTGCGAGCACGTGAAAGAGGTGATTACACACCTCGGCAATCCGTAACTCGGGGTTTCGGCCATGGCTTTGGACCCCATGCAAGGTGCTGCATTGTTCTGGGAACTGTGCGAGGTCGGGATTCTTATATACTTGGCGATTAGCGAGAGTGATCACAGTTATCGATTAGCGAGTACAGGCTCCAGGAAACGTGCGTGAGTCCGCGGACTTGCTGGTCTTTGTTTTGTGAAGAATGCAGCGTTTTGGGGGGTGTGCATTGGTTACGGACACAGGAGCTCTTCGTGTTGCAGGAGACAATTACCATGAGGATTTAAGTATTTTAACGCACCGTTGGATTCTTCTTCCAAGCTTTGAATATTGTTAAAATGGTGGGTACTTTCAGTCCAAGCAGGAAGTTTTAGGGTTTTTTTTTTTTTTTTTTTTTTTTTTTCTTTCTTTGTTTTTAATTTTTTTCTGTATCGCCCATTAACACATTGTGAAGCTCACTGCAATTCTTTGTTTGTGGTGAGATTACATTGATTTATGTTTTTATTATTTATATTATTATTATATTCCCAAAATACAGTTCTCATATCCTCTGCTGTGGATTTCCAGCAGATGCTTCAGTAGCAATGGTGCCTGTGATGTTGGCCATCATTTGAACGCCGCGTTTCTCTCTGAAGTCAATTGGAGGTTCAAAAGTATGGTGTAGCTTTAGAATTTAAAGCTGAACTATAAACTAGTTGCGTGATTGCCAAATCTCCGTTCTGCGGGGTCCAGGATTGTGAGGATGGCAACTGGGGCGAGTCAACCACTCGCCGTGCAACATACAACTTCCTCTCGACGCCCAAGTTTTTATCTCGAACCAACTTCACTACCTTGTTCACTATTCGCAACACAGATCAAAGGAGAAGAGAACGTTCATGATGTCAGAAGATAGCACGCATCTTTTCCACGAAATTTCAATTAATAGCCTCTGCATTCACAAGGCTTGAGACTTGGTCACTTAAGGTGTTCGGCCTCTTTGAAAGGAGAAGGAAGGTCTTCTTCTTCTTTTGGTATCGGAAATTGGCATATTTTCTCGGACTTGAAGTCAGCTGACAGATAACCTCTGAGTCTAGTTGCTCGCATTATCACTAGACACACTACATGCAGATGGATTGTGTCATTCTGGAGTAGTGAATCCTTCACGTTTTGTTGTCGGGAGGTTTGTCAGCTTACGAGTGATTTGTGATAACTTTCTGAGGTCATGAAGGTTTTTATGGGCACAATGTGGGTGGTAAATAGGCTAGGCTTTTGGTGCTTGTCGTGATTCCTGGTTGAACGCAAGTGACAATTCAGATCGGCATGGATATATTCTTGGCCTTAGCCACTGTGTGCACGCTCTTAGCGAATTTGGCAGGTAGGTCTTTTTGTTTCCAAGCGTTTAGAGAAAAGATCTAATGGGCGTTCTGTAGCTCATCCTAGTGCGCTAGTATCTGTTTTCTTCCCACGATCTTTGGGGAATGGATTGAAAATGCGACAGGACCAACAAGGTCGCATGCCTGTGCTGTCGGGGCTCCTTTTCGTAACGCTTGCTTTAGGAACAGATGGAGTACCTCCTGTGATGTAATTGCGTGGGCCTTTGGTATTGGCAGCAGGTCTACCAGAACTTCCTGCTTCCATAAGTTTCTAAAAATATGTCCTGAAGTTAAGTTCCTTTCAGCTGACTAGAGAGGAATGTCACCGGCTGCTGTAGCTTCCTGTTTGTCCTTCACTGAGAGCGTCGCAGTATTAGCAATTTATCGGGACCAGGTTGTCAGTGCCCTACTGCTATGGAGAGGGTAGAGATACATAAACGCCGAATTGATATCAGGTTCCGATGGGAGCAATCCTTTTATCCACTTTGACAAAATAGGTATTGCGCACTTTGACAAAATAGTATTAGTATTTGCTTTACAACTACAAAACTAGAGCAGATTGCCGCAGCTTTTGGGTGGTAACGATAACACTCGCACGCCTAGGTGTTCCTGTGGAGGAGCTGATATGAACACTTCTTCTGTCACTACGATTCATTGATATCGTGTTTTACAAGGCTTGGTTATCCAATTGAAGTTTATTGGATCGGGTGATCTTGTCTGATACTTTTTGCAGACATAGATAAGGCATGAAGCGTTTCTCTTCGATCTGTCCGAACCGCATTAGGTGATAAGTATCAGTTTGGGTATGTAGGTTCGAAATCTTGCGGTTGGAGTTGTGGCCAAAAATAGCGATTGGAAGTCGTTGGGGCCGACAGAAACAGCAGACTGTAATTTTTGTATCCCTTGAAAGATAAAGCCCAATGTATATTTCTCATTAGAATGATTTAACAAGTTCTATTGAACCTGGTTGTTTCTGAAGGTCCTCTTGGTAGACCAGTTTCTTAGCGCCAGCATTATGAACTTTTCTCCTACCATGTATGATTTTAGCATAATCCTTAACGGTTGAAGTAAGCTAAGTAATCCAACTTTTTGTTCTGTGGTTGTCTCCACATTATTCATCAATATATTTGGTTGCATCTTCGAGAACTAGTTCTGCCATGCTGATCAAATATCTCAAGTACGGTTTCTTCTATTAAAGCTCTCTATTTCAGGTTTTGTCGAAGACTTAAGATCTTTTATAACCTAGAGTCGATGTTTGCAGATGTATACTTGTTATCATAGTTTCAATTTGTCCTTGTGCATTATTTTCCGGAGGGCAGGATATGGTTGCACTCTGTTGTTGTGGCAACCCAATTAGGCACCACGTTCTCACGAAGGTGTCCATCAAATCAAGCGACTGGATTGCGACTACAAACTTGTTGATATTGGTGTCTTTTTCTCTTTAAAGAGATTATGCAACAAGGCTATCAAGGCTTCAAACATACAACAGATCCAGCTCATTTTCATTAGAACACCGCGTCTTTCATTTGCAGCACTGCGAATTGTAAATTTGGTTTTGAATCACCCGATTGTAGGCCTCATTTCAACACCAACGAGGTTGCATCGTCTGTGTCGCGTCGTGATAGCGTATTTGAATGGAATGTTCTATCATCCATGCTTGGCAGAGAGACATAATTGTTCAATATTTTGCAATCATGCAGAGTTATTCAGGGGATAATAAAATCTATTTTTTAACAGCAAACTGGGGGTTAGAATATCACAGTTTCGTTTCTCTTAACAAGCCCAGCTCCTGAATGTAGCACAGAAATGGACCTTGAGGTCTACACGGCAACTCTCATCCCTTCCAAAGGGTGATGTGTACAAAACTGGACACGCAACCCCACTTCTCAATGAAGACCTGTCCCAGTTTTTTTCGCAAATGTGACCCTGTTCTTGAGCCGAATCAATTTTGGTGCATCGTACCCCGGTGATATGGAAGGGCCATTTTAACCCTTTATAAAGGGTGTCAATCTGCAGAGCTGGCAGTAGTTCCTCTGTAGCCATCTTCAAGGGAGGGGACTCAACTTAAAGGGAGGATTAGAAAGGACTTGACAAACAGAGAGTGTAACTCCCCCAATCCGGTGTTTGGCAGAATTTGGAGCAGGTTCTCGTCTGCCCATCGCATTGCGAAGCATGCAAATCGTACTGGGGCCCTAGTTGGTCTGTCTTCTACTGCGGTGGTCACCTTCTCACGCTCGAGGTTTTAAGAGGGCGATGGGGATTGACTTGATTGGGTGCCAACTCATGCCTCTCCTCAAGCTCAGTATCTGCGGTGACTCTGCACTTTGCGCCAGGCTTTCCTCATCATCCGTGGCTCTGCGATGTATTCACAGCCACAGCACAGCCACAGCACAGCGGAGAGTTTCAAAACATCGAAGGTGCCCCATGTGGCGAAAACTCCGTCTTCATCTCCTGCCATGGCACTGGAGCTTCTGGAGCTTCTGGAACCACATCCATTATGTCGTCCTAGTGGAGCCTGCATATGAGGGAGACTCTCAAGTGTATGAGAATACATGCCCCAAAGACACATTTTAAAAACAAAAAAAAAATGAAAAAGAAAAAGAGGAGAGTATGCACCTAAAAACATGCAGTGTCAACAAAGTGGTTCCAGGTTTTGATAACTGTGATGACGACTTCTATATTCTGTGTATCTGTTTGAATATTTTACTCTTTTCGACATTGGGATCCTATGACAGGTTTCGTACACCAAAAGTGGAGCCTTTCACCGCTGCTTCCACTCACCAATTGATCATGAAATCAAAAAAAATAATTTGGAAAGGTCTTATTTTTAAGTATTGGAAATTAATGGCTCAAATGTTTCTGTATCGTGAAAGGATTCTAATATTTATGAATGTGGAGCGCACACTCCTTTCAGTTTTGCTATTGGGGTAAGAACAATCGCATATATTTTTTCACAAGATTTGCACAACCCACAGTGAGCATTTCGATGGAATCTAACGTGAAACAGTTACATAGGTGAAACAACCCTTGTGGAAACAAATTCTCAATTGTGCGGTGCGGTAACGTCTTTTGGTATAATATTTATGTTTTGCATACACATCCAACTCTGCAGTGCACAAAGTTACCTACTAACAAACAAAAAAAAAAAAAAAAAAAAAAAACAACAACAACAACAACATCTGACTCTAAGAATGAATAACTGTGGGTTTATTGAAACTCTAAATTTTAGTTATAATTTTTAATTTTAATTTTTTGGGTACTTCCTTTTACATTAAGATAGGAATATTAAGATAGGAATATCATGGATGACTTCAGATATCAATTAATGCTTTGGGGTTTGCATTCAAGACATTCTTAATCTTTACTGCTCTACTGCCACCCCTACTGTTAGCCCTCACCCTGGTGGGCTTTTATCATCCACTGGATGAAGGTCCAAACGGATGATTAAATGGATGACGTGTATCAGATGAACAGAAAATTTATTTACCTTTCATCATCCGCCCTTTCATGTCATCTCTCTCCCCTTACCTCGCTGAAGATGAGGCTGACGTGGGATGAGGCTATTGGGTCCACATCCAGGTGGCATGCCAAATCAGCACCAGCGGAGCGGTACATGTGGACCGAGCCCCAGATCGCGAAGCACTCTCAGAGCGGCACAGGACGCAGCAGCAGCGGCGGCGGCGTTGGCGATGAGAGACGTGCAGTCGGTCACTCACTCACTCACAATGAGGGTGAGGGGTGCGAGTGCAGGCAATAATCAAAAGCAGGGTAACGAGAGAGAGAGAGAGAGAGAGAGCAGAGTTGGAGTACTAGTGAAGTTTGCAGAGTACAAACAAAGAGAGAGTCTCTTGGAACTATGACACCACATCGAGCTGGATTGAAGGGTGAGTACAGTGCTTGAGCAAGGCTGTCGAGGGATCGCTGTACCCACTGCACCACTCTGCACGACCAGTGTACCCATCTGCAGCACACCTGATGCTTCCTCTGCCCTCTCCCAAACGCTTCTTGCTTGCTTGAGAGGTGGACAGTGTTCGTTGCGGAGCTTTAAGGAGCTGCTGCGGCGCGTGTAGCTCTGCTGCAAGGGCGCTGGTGTGCTGGGTGCCTGGTTCCTGGTGGCGGGACCTCCCAGCTATCTACGGGTGCAAATTTGGTGCTTGGTTGTACCCATCCCGTATTCGTCTCCGTTCATGAGCTTGTTCCACGGGGATACAGGGTGAGGGTGACTGTTTTCGGACGACGTCGTAGCTCCTTTTCATGTGTGGTGCAGTTTGTGTGTGACATTGTGGCTTGGACTGCACGAGACGATTCGTACTGCTGGTGATTGCCAACCAGCCGTCGTCGTTCACGCTGCTTTATGCTCTTGGCTGCTTTCTTTTGCATTATTGTAGTTCAAACCCGGTTGTTCTCTCTTTTGGAAAGAAGAGGACGTGAGTAATTAGTTTCAGCTGTGAAGATTTGATGCATTGGACTGAAGCATTGGGTACGTTTTTTTTGGAAGGCTAAGTGCCCACACTTGGGTTTAGCCGACAGGATCATTGTCCGATCAAGCTTCTGGAAGAATACGGAGTAGCATTTCACAGTGAGGGATTTGACAACGGATCTTTGATGGCCTTGGGCGGGCGTTGAGAGAATGCCGCTGATCAACTGGCGGCACTCACTACTATCGCAACGGCGACCATTCCACATACGAGTGCAACGACACAGCTACCACTTGGAATCGGAAGGTTGATTGATTGGTCGCGGCTATGGTGGACAGTATGTCCGGAGATAGAGGCCAGCGTGCATGGACATGGGAGTCGGATTTGTTCTTAACTTTCTTGTAGCTGCAGAGGCTATTGTATGCAACCGTCGAGGAGTCATCGAGCGGCTTGTGATGAAAGAGGAAAATGAATTCCAGCAACACTACCACAATGCAAGTGAGTTTGAGCAAAGTGGGGCTAGGGTATGGAATCGCCATAGCTGTGGGTATACTGGTGCTCGTCTCCACCGTCATGCTGGCCTCGTACGTGTGTGTGCGAGTCCACCAGACCAGCAGCGGCAGCCTAAGCGGGAGCTCCACTGGCGCAGCTCCGGACCACGCCGGAGGAGATGACGGCGGTGGAGGTGCGTTCACGGAATGGTCAACGAGCGGCCTCGACCAAATCACTGTGGAGTCGTACCCGAAAGTGGTGTACTCTGCCTCTCAAGCGCTCCCCCACCTTCAAGACACCTCTTGCTCCATCTGTCTGGGAGATTACAAGGACGGCGACACGCTGCGAATGCTGCCGGAGTGCCGCCACATGTTCCATGCACTTTGTATCGATGCGTGGCTGCGTTTGCACGCCTCATGCCCCATGTGCCGCACTTCCCCTCTCCCCACTCCTCTGGCCACCCCCATCTCCACTCCGCTCTCAGAACTCATCCCCCTCGCTCGTCACCCTCTTCATATCCGCCATTAAAGCCCCGTCTGTCCGGGCATGGTGCAGAGCTTGCCCTAATTTCATTCTCTCTGGAGCTGGATCGTTGTAAATTCTTAGCATTGGTCTCTAGTCTGCTCCATCGATTAGACTCTACTCTAAACATGTCAGTCGGCCAGTAGTGGAGGAAGCAGCCTTGTAAGTTTTAAGCCTCTGGATTTATCACTGATGGTGAGCCACATCGAGTCTCAACCTCGGCTAAATGCGATACAGGGTGACAAAATTGCACGTTGGGGAGTTAGAGAAGTCGGAGATGGAAAGTTGAACTTCGTTTACATGTTAGAGGTCATGAGCGCTTGTTAATTGTAAAACAGATTCTGATTTATTTATGTGAAACATCATCCTCAAAATGCATCGGCTGTGAACTTGCTGGTCATTGTAATATCAGGAGAAAGATTAACAAGTTCAATCCCTCATCCAATTCGATTACTGGATCCAAACGTGTTGTTGCTGCGTCGTCGTCGGCGTCGTTGTTGTTGTTATTTTTCTTTTTTCTTTTTTCTTTTTGGGAGAAATGACGAATGAATTTCAACGATACCCTTGATTTGACGTGGTCCAGCGAAGCCCATCATTTAAGCAGATTCGCCATTTGTGCCTGCATGGTTTGAGGAATTTGCTCTCTGGTCTCAGTGGCACGTGTTTGTGGCAATGTAGCAACTTGTCGGATGACATATCAGGTTGTCTTCATGGAGCCTTAAATGGTAGCTTCCAACATGGGGTCGGGTTCCTCGTACCTCACTTCTGATACCCAATCTTCGCGAGAACACGCTGTTGGAAAATGTGAGAGTGCTGATTGATAACCAGTTCATCATTTGAGGTCCCATCAAGTATCCTACTCTCTTCATTAAATTCTCTGCCAATCCTCTGATCTGCACTAATTGGGTGCCGCTGACCAGTTTTGTGGAAAGCAAGACTTCTGTGTGGTAAGAACCGCACACAGCGTTCATTATGATTACACCAGATTCCACAGACTGCGTCGACCCTGAACACGATCCATATGGCTGTAGAATGGCGTTTACAAGACGCCCCATGACCACACAAAACCCAAGAACCTCCGCTGTAACGATATTTCCTGCCTTCGGTTATCAGTTAGAACGCAACTGTTTGCAGTCAACAAAAAGATTCACCTTACAGAGGAATCCACGCAACTGGGTCTTCATGGAACGAGAACTGGAATAAGGGAGCAGAATGATACAAGAGAATGAGAGAAAAGTTTCAGAAACAGAGAGAGTACCAGGTCCAACCGTCAACGGCACAAATGGGAACCGAGACTGGCCCACAGATGCAGGGTTTATCGGATGGAATGCCGGTCTATCTATCACCAATAGCCACCTGGAGGTTACCTTATCCGTTGAAGAAAAATTCCTACCCATCCCAATCGCTTCGCAATACTCTAAAATTAAGCCTCCCATCATCTACAACTCCCCCCTGCGGAATTCAGCTCATTGCATCACCTGTGTAGCAACCAATTCCGTCTTAAAGCTGTGCCGGTTGCCAACAATCCAGCCAAACAATTAGGTCCTGGGATCCATCAGGTTTGCGATGGCCACTGTCGCCATGACTAGGGCCGGAGGACTGCTCGCCCTGGAGCGTGCGCAGCGTGTGAGCAAGCCGCAAGGAGCCGTGAGCAACCGCGCGTTTCTGGGCAATGTGAGTGGTCTGCGTGCAGTCGCCATCGCTCCCAAGCAATTGCAGGTGAGTGCTTTCACTATCAGGGCCGGAGCTGCTGGGAAGTACCAGGTCATCGAGCCATTGAATGGTGACCCCTTCATCGGAGGACTGGAGACACCCGTGACCAGCAGCCCCCTCATCGCGTGGTACCTGTCCAACTTGCCCGCTTACCGCACCGCCGTGGCTCCCTTGCTGCGCGGTGTGGAGATTGGCCTTGCCCATGGGTATTTGCTGGTGGGTCCCTTCGTCCTTGCAGGACCTCTTCGCAACAGTGCTGTGAGGGGTGAGGCTGGAAGTCTTGCCGCTGCTGGCCTTGTTGCCATTCTCACTATGTGCCTCACCATCTATGGCATTGCCTCCTTCAAGGAAGGCGAGGCCTCCAAGGCTCCCAGCCTCACCCTCACGGGAAGGCAAAAGGCTGCCGATAAGCTGCAGACTGCTGAGGGATGGGCCGGATTCACCGGTGGGTTTTTCTTCGGCGGTCTATCGGGCGTGGCCTGGGCGTACATCCTGCTCTACGTCCTCAACCTCCCATACCCCGTCAAGTAGATTGATTTGTCGACAGCCTTGCCATGAGCAATACACTTTGTAATCTGGTTCTGATTTTAACGCCAATCCCAACAAGTTTCGCTGTTTACACCTATTGTCGTATCTTCGCCTCCAATTGACTGGATTCCACATTCCAGTCAATCTCTGACTGTTTCTCTCCAATGTGTAGTGTCTCAGCAATATCAATTCCACAGGGTTACCCGAGCGGAGTCTCGGGTTTCTATCTGTTTCTGTTGTGGTTTTGTGGTCCGGCTACATCAGCATTACCACGTCTCATACACAGTCGTAATGACAATGTCATCCGCCGTCTCAGTAGTCTGAGTATTCGAGAATCTGGATGAGTGTTTACTCCACGCCGGATAACTCCTAAAGTGCTTGTATACTCTCAGCCGTGATTGAATTGTCTTTTAGTGCGATACAATGCGCTGTGGACTCGTGTGCCTCTTCGTACTAGCTGAGAAATTATGTCTGTGAAATCAACCCATGGATGTTAACCTGCGAGTGAAGCGATTCACTGTAACAGCAATCGGTGATCTGCACAATTTATGTACCTTATCCTTGTCGATCAGTCGTAATAGTGGTAAAAGAATTAATGTGGTATGCATCCACTTCATTGTAACAGAATTCAACATGTGCTCTAATGTTCAAGCCAAAAGGTTCATTCTACGTGTTTTCATGGTTTGTTTGAGTTTGCTACATCTGAAATAAGGCTGCAAGAAAATAATCAAGTAAATTGCTCATTTCAGAGGTAAGAATTCATGTCTGAAACCAATCTAGTTGTTTGAAATTTGTGTATTTCTAAGGGCACTGGACAATATCGGCCCCTAATGGTTGAAATGGAACCGAACTAATGTATGCGAAGTTTGTTTCAATATTTTATGGTTGATGTGTTGTTCAGGAGCAAAGTGTTGCTGATGTTTAGCAAACTTGAAAGAATAACAGTTGAAGGGCTGAAAGTCTGCCTTGTCTCTTGGGAGTCTGCTGTCGGGTTTCGAACCCGGGTCGCTCGGCTGAGAAGTACAGTGTCCCAACTTTGAAGACCCCTCCGGAGTTAAAAAGTCAGCATCGAAGTGCTGTTCAGGTGCCGTGGCACGTTGTTATTGGCTAACCGCCTGGGAAAGGGGATGCGGCCATAACGGTAATGCACTCCCGTTTTGGCCACTTGGCTAGATGTTTATCCTAATTGTTGGAGTAGGCCTAAGCCGTGTGTAACAGATCAAAGAGCCTCGCATAGCCAAGCTAATTTGGCTTGTAATTGCACATAATATAATCATAATGAAAGTTGTCCTATCTATGCTTATCTTTATGAGTTGTCTTGAGTATGCATGTTTTCTTCATGTTGTTGTATATCTTGCTAGCCATGTGCTTGCAGTTATCAAGGGTGATAATTGCAAAGGTTGAACTATTGTCTTTCATCTGCCAACTAGTCATGAAAGTTGGCGCCTTGTAAGTATTGACTAGTTGTAGTGTATATTTCTAGAGCCATGATGCTCTTACTAAAGTGAGGATTGTTTCTTGTATTTTCCACGATATGTTGAAGGTCTCTTAGTTCATATGGTATTGAATCAAATTTTTGCTAACGTTCTTTTTAGGCCCTTCTATTGATAAATGATTAATTGTGGAAAATCTAGTGCTTGAGTTTTGTATTCATATTCAACATCTTCAAGTATGGTATCAACCTCTTGTATCATTTTTTCCCCCACTTATAAAGTCTCTTGTAGGAGATTAGTTGTAATTCGATTGAATTGCTCAACAAGATTATTGTTACCAAGATGTCAATTATCCTATTGAAGGATGTCTATGGTAAGGAATGAGGAGTTGAATATTAAAGATTATTGTCTATAGAGCCCTAGTTTAATTCCTGCAAAGAAGGCCTCTATTTCTAATCAAAGGTTGCTACTTTTTGTAGTAATTTCTATACTAATCTTTATATGATTCGTATTCAGCAGTATTGTTGATTAATTTACAACCTCACCTAGGTTTCTTGGAAGGAATACAATGGGTGGAAGCTAGTGTTAGTATTGCGGATTTCCATGTATTCCAAAAATCCCCTTGGTTATCCATACTTTATAAAAGAGGGCTGTCACTTTATTGCATTATTCTTCTAAGTGCTTAAACATGAAGATGTTGCACTAGACTTCTAAGCCGATATGTATAACTATCTTCTAATCATAAAAGACAACTTTTTTAGAAAAAAATGTATTACCAAATATCTCTTATCCACATTTTTGAATTCAAATGTTTTATTTCAAACTTACTTATAGAAGAGTTCAAGGATTGTTGTCATTAATCAAGATCTTATCTACTAAATTCCATGCTCATGCTTCTTCCATATTGATATTACTATGTTGTATTATAAATTTAAATCAAATGATAGACCATAAGTTATATATGTCATGAGGCCATAATATCTTCAAAGTACAAAAAGAATGCTCCAGATTGAAAAAAATATGATCACATTTATATAGCACATTGTTGTATTACGTGTAGTCTTATTTGATAATGCACCAAGCACCTAGCTATGAAAGGTGAAGTTGTATTTTACAAGTATCCAAAAAATCCTAATAGGTTTCAGCCATATTAAAAGTATGTAATTTGAATTTCAATTCAAAAGTGCTTTAAATCAATACAAAGTGCTCAAAAACATTCTTTTTAGTAACCTCAACTATACACAAATGCTAATTGCCTTATTACTTTCATGATTAGAGCATGTTAGTATAAGGTAGATTCTCTAATTTTTTTATTAAGGCTTGAAATGTTCTATCAATAGTTCTATAGAATACTAAGAGCATGGTCATTTCAGTTATTTTAGGATCTTGTCTACTATCATAGATGAGGATTTTCCAAAAACTATTGTAGATATTTTAAGACATATATATCTATATATATATATATATATATATATATGCCTTTATTTAAATTTTAAGTTCTTAAATAGTTAATTGGACTGCTTTGGATTGCCATACAAAGTAATTGCTAATTTTATTGACTTTGGACATTATTGATTATTTCTTTTATGTTTGAATTTGTCTAATTCTACTTCCACAGGCAAAAGCTGATTTTCCTCCATTGATGTATCTATAAAGAGGTTGTTTTGGATTTTAAGTATTTTACCATCTAAAAATAATATATTATTATATTATATATTTAAAGAAGTGACAACGATTGTACCACACTATTAATTCACTATATTCTAATTCATATTTTATTTCAACTTTATTATCAAGCCTTGATAATAGAATTAATTTAAAAAATGATCCTATATTATTTATTAGGATCTACACCATGGATTGAAATAGTTGTTATCATATTACATATTGTCTTGCTTGAAAATACATGGGGCACTTGGCTATGGAAGGTAAAGTTATATTTTACAAGTATTTAAGAAATCCTAATAGGTTTCAGCCATCTAAATACAAAGTAATTAGGATTTCAATGCAAAAGGCTTAGAGCCAATATAAGTTCTCAAAAACACTCTTCTTATTAATCTCAAGTAAGCACAAACTCAAATTATTTTGTTACTTTAACCTCATTGCAACTTTCAATTTTCTTTCCAAATATTAATTTTAGATAGTAAATTTTAATAATTTGTAATTCTTGATCTAATTATTTAATTGGTCTAAAAAATATTTACTGGTATTGTTGCAAGTCTTCTATATATACAAGAAGTTTCAAATTAATCCAACTGATAAATTGTAAAAATGCCATAAATCCACTAATATCTCTCAATTGCCACCTTGAAAGTTGATAAAATTTTGAAAAGCAATTTTTCCTTCTTCAACCATTAACTTCCACTTAAAATTTGTGTAGAACTTGGCCTTCAAGTCTTTTAATTCTATATTAAATTTTATCTTATTCCAATTGATAAATCTTTAGTTATTGCAAAAATCCTAATCAATCATAAACTATCAACTTCAAGTATCTGTTACAGATATATATATCTATTGTAATTATTACTTAAGTAATATGAATAGGTAGAAGTAGATAAAAATACATTAATTTTATAATAACTTTTTAGAAAAGCTTCTCAAAAGCTTTTAAGATGCTATTTTGACTTTACATATGTTTATAGTTGATTGATAGGTTAAAAACTTAGTCAAGAAGCTAACCACATGCTACATGTGTTGGTAGCTTATAAAACAAGCTAACTATGTAGTACTCATATAAAAAACTTACCTTGCAAGTTAAGATACATGTCATACAAAGTCAATACATTTTTGGAGGTTCTATAGAACAGTATTACATAAATCTTAGGTAGATAGTATATATAGAGGCAAGAGTGAAGTCTTCTTCAATCTTGTTAATTCTTTTTTTGCTTCTAGTTTAGTTTCAAGAGTTTTTAGTTTTCTTGTCTTTTAGGAATAGCCATTCCTATTTTTCTTTTAATATACATACTTTTCTATTTTTATTTTGTCATATTTCTTTGAAAGAGTCTCACTTGTTTATTTGCTTTCATTAAGTTCTTGTCCTTAACAATATTTCTTTGTACAAATGATTGAATATCTCCAAATTGCATTATTAGAATAATACAAAATTTTACGTACACTTAGGACATCCAAACAAATAGACATTGAAAATTTTTGAACTATAGATGTTGCATTAATTGCATAAATTAGCCAAGCATATTTTTCCTAATTTTATTGCATAAATTCTAAGTTACCAATTCAAATCTTAATTTTGAACAATAATTATAAAGTCCTCTCAAAACCTAAGAAAATAAATTTGTTGCTAATTCTCTAATCTTATTTACTAATCTTTATAAATCTTCCTTATTTTTCCTATTGGATCATTTTAATGGCTAGAGATTTGATTTTGATCCCAATCCATAAATTGTCATTCTCTATATATCACTTCAACTTATCTTAGAAATTTTTAAGTAGAATCCTATCCTTATTTTTACTCTAAAATCAACCATATTAATTATTTATCTCATTTATCTTATTTTTACCAATTTATAGCCTTTTAAGGTAATAAAAGAATTTTTGTAGCTTAAAAAGAAAAATTAATAATTAGTTTTTATCTACTAGCTATTAAAATAAGTAAATAATCTAAAAAACTTTTATGATGAATTTTTTAATTGTCTTAAGTTTTATTAAATCAAAATAATTGAATATTAATTAGAAATCAATTTTGTTTATATTTTCACCATATAATTGTATTACAACACGATAGTATCTAAGATAGGTATCAATATCATCAATGTATAACACTTTACTGAATACCTCAAATATTTTCCTTAAAAATTCTTATATTCATAGAAATAGCAGTAATTCTCAAATTTGTGCCTAGTTTCCTATTTTCAAGCATGATTTATTCAATGGGAGGTTGGCATTAAAGTATAGTATTTAATTGTAGAATGAGATGTCTCACCCATTAAGTATATATTGTATGTCTGCTAAGATATGTCATCTACATTCTTCTTGAGTGAATTGTACTTTAAAATAGTTATTAGTTTATATTGTGAGCTGATAGAATGATCTGTGCAGAGTTGCTTTTAGTCACGTAACTAGTTTCATAGCTCTAGGATTACAATTAGAAACATATCCAAGGATCATAAATTTGGATAGGTTTATTATCTTCTCACAATACGTGCAAAGTCTGTCAAAAGCCATTGTAATCTTCATGGATGGATCCATTTTCTTGCTATTTAATAAGTCTTTTAATTTATATTCTAAGGCTTGAGTTCTAACTTTTTACTATAATTGGAGAGAAGTGGGATTCTCTCTTGATAATGTATCTTATTTTACTGTTTGAGATACTTATACTACTCAATTTCAACCAATCTTTGAAGCTTGTGAATAATTTTAAATAACTGTGATAATATTAACCACTCTATTACCAAGATGTGTTTTTTTAGTTTCTTACATGTATTGAATTATCAACCAAACAAATACAAATGTATTGAGAATATCTTAAACAACCTCCAAAATATAATAAATCTGCACTAACATATTTTTTTATTTTTGAATATCCAATACAAACAACAATATTTTGAAAAAAGAAAGGGAAATGTTAAAATGACCCAGGGTTTTGCTAAATTGACGCACATGTTTAAGCCATCATTGCACCCCATCCATCCCCTCCCCATTCCCCGAGTTCCCAGACCCAATCCCGACCCCCTCCCTGTTCCCAGTCCAGCGTCGTGAGTAATCGTCCTTGTCGTAGTCCCCCCAGCTCCCAGTTTTGTGAATGCGGAACATGTTACCACCCTCCGCACCTCAACAAAATTGCTTATCAGTCTTCCTTATCAGATGAGAAATTGTTGAGAAATTCCCAGTTTTCTACGTGAGTTGGGTTGAGTTGGAATTGGGGCGCAAAAGCTTCTCGACGGCACAACCAATCTCACGAGGTCTCTGACGAATGTCTGCAAAACGGAACGAAGGTGAAACGAGGGGGAGGAAGGGGCGGGCAGAATCCAGCACCCCGCTGACTGGAACCTCACACACTTTGAAATCGCTGAGTCGCCTAGTGCACGCTGTCCAAACTTGCCAGTGTAAGCCTGCGATCAAACGAGAAACTATTCCCTGGATTGTTGACGCATTGAATATGAGGAGTCAACCCACAAATGCCCATTTCAGGGTACCAGTTAAATCTCACATCCCAACGCCAATCTCAATCCTAAATCCGCCTTGTGAACTTCCAAGCACGTGCGCTCGCTTGGTACACCTGTGCCTATCACGCCTGAACCCCGCCTCATTGTCTCCTCCAGCATCTCCCTTCTCTCTTGTGCAGTGGAGGTAGTGTTGAACAGACCTGCCTGGATAACCTTCGCATCAATGCCCATCTTCGACTTGGCCCGCTCCAGAAACTCCTCTTCAATCGAACCCACGCTTACCTAAGCAATTTTGTTAAGGTGCGGAGGGTGGTAACATGTTCCGCATTCACAAAACTGGGAGCTGGGGGGACTACGACAAGGACGATTACTCACGACGCTGGACTGGGAACAGGGAGGGGGTCGGGATTGGGTCTGGGAACTCGGGGAATGGGGAGGGGATGGATGGGGTGCAATGATGGCTTAAACATGTGCGTCAATTTAGCAAAACCCTGGGTCATTTTAACATTTCCCAAAAAAAAGAATAATATGAACAAGTGATTATATAAAATAAGATAAAATAAAAATCAATGAATGTAATCAAGTCAGAGAATACCCCATCGAAGGCCAAGTTCACAAAGCAAAACCATGATCTACCACCATTACACGCACCAACCTCATCCCACAATCTAATCATCCAAGTGCTCTTTTCCACTAACTCTTTTCTCTAGAATCGACAATCTCTTAAGCCAAGTATTCCAACACGAGATGCATACCAGCGCCAACAAAGTGCATCAGCTGTTATGGGGTGTAAGGATCCATACACCCAATAACAGACACAATGGTGTTAAGACCATTGCTCGTGCACAGTGGACTCGCTGGCCCTATCTTTGAGTGCAACAAAAATCGCAACTTTGTTTACATGAATGCTTGAACTATCATAAAAGTGTGTCATTTGCGCACCACCTGCAAAATGGCTGAATCTCGGACTGATACACTGAAGGTCTTGCTTAAACCGATTTGCACAACAAAGAAATTGCAACACAGTGCAGCATCTATTGGAAAGTGACTAGATTTGCACAACAAAGAAATTGCAATCTTTGTAACCCGATCTCGGTTCTTCAGATCGGGTTACTAGGATCACGCTTGGTGCAGATCTAGTCACTTTCCAATCTATCGCACCCCAACTCTACCATAATTTATCCGGAGCAAGTCGGTGGATTGCAATGCCGACCTTCTATTTGGACGAGATTCTAGATCTGTAAACCCACCCTAGAGTCATTGCGCTAAGCGAAGCCATGGAAGTCCCATTGTTCTCTTTACCTGATCGTGTTTGTTTACCTTTAGGTGAACGATGTGAGCACATATTGTCAGATTTTGAAACCTGAGCAAAGCACACCCATCTGACGCCATGATTCATGAGTATGTGGGTTTGTTATGCAAGCGTTGTCAATTTTGGTTGTGGTCATTGATGCAGCTTGTTGTGCACAAATCTGAGATTAATGACTCAACCTTTGACGGAAATACAAGCTTTGCAGTGCGCTGACGACCTCTTGCTGTGTAGAGCACAGCCGACTGGTTTGAGTGTGTAACGCGCCCCGCACCTAAACCAGGCAAGCCTGTAGGTTCGGTCGATGTACGCCACGGAATCCTCGAATAGCAACGTCGCAAAACAGTTGGAAGAGTAGAGTAAAATTTATCACCTAAAACCCTCTGTCTCACGATGCTGCGGAGAGCGTTGGTTTTCGGCACATGAAGTGGTCGTTGAAGTGACTGAATGAGATGTTCGCAACATTGCTCTTCAATGTTGACATTTCGTGCAGATATTTAACGGGGGTTATTCCTGGAATTGGGGCATTGAGAAGTAGTCTGCAATATGTTGCTAGTGTGTCATATGCTCATACTTCCCATCTTTTATTGCACTTTGCAAAACTATCCTCGGATTCGACTGATAGATGATGTGGTGTAGACAGGATTTTCTCATACCCTGTCCTTCCCATGCATTTGTCTGTTGCGATTGATAATCAAGATACGATTCTTTTCCAAGTGCAGGTATTTTCGCAGGTTTTTGTGGAACAGCTGGTTGTATGGATGGTCAGAAGGATCTTTTTTCTTTTATGTCTTTTTTGCAGCATTTGTGGCGAAGATAAATTTTGAGATGTTTGATCGCATGTGGAATAAAATCTATTGATTTTAGTTTACGGTTGAGAGGAGTACGAAGAATGTGCTACTTGAATGGGCCGCACGATTTATACTTAGAGAAAATTGAGTTGCCTGTTATTTGGCGAGGAATGAGTGAAATAAAGGACTACATTTTCTGTTTTAGCATTTGTTTCAACATTTACATTCTGACCATACATGTAAATTGCGTCCACTTTCATTTACGATGCACATACAATGATGTCGCCTTCCTGTTTAAGTGAGTGTATGGATATATTTGCAAACAATTATGAGTGGATTTAGTCGGGATAACCCTTGCGACTGTCACGATTACACATACTGATCTCTCATCAAATGGAGCACTGGAATATACAGTCAGCAGCATTAAGAGTCAAAGACATTGTTCCACTGTTAGTTAAGAAATAAGCACGAAGAGAAAAATCGATCAGGATCCTGATGGTACTGACTATGCCACTGATCACCAGTACTAGTTATAGATGAATTGGGTAGAAACATGTGATACACTTAGCCGTGGTTTTTACGACCAGCAAAATTCCATCAAGCTTGGGATGCACATAAGATCAGACCAATAGAATAAAAAAACCAGGTCAAACTTGCGCTTATTCCTTTTCGACTAAGGTCAACAAATTCGATATTAGTGTAAAAATAATATAACTAAATCTTAACCGCTCAAGGCAGATGTGTTGTACACTAGAAGAGCTCCAGTGAGGAGAAGTCCACCCAAAAGAAGAGCCCAGATGGCGAGGGCAGGCGTTCCTGCATATCAAATACTCAATAGAGTCAAGTACAGCACGCTACGCAACCGCAGGAAAAGATGAGGATTTGTGCACGAATTTCAATGCCAGTTCAGTGGTACAACAGCAACAACATTATATGAAGATTGGAAATAATTTCAAACGCTTTAATCGATGAGTTGCTCACCTCCGGCGTAGCTGTCCCCTCCCTTGCTCCACTCATCCTTAGCATAAATTGGGCTGTACCCGTCAACATTAGCACCGTACTTGTCGACGAACTGGTACACACCCTTGCCCTTGAGAACTCGGCCACCAGCATCGACACCCTTCTTGTTCTTAAAGTCACCTGATGGACCTGCAGCACAAGGAAATGAAGGGACTCAATTCCACAACCTCACATAACAACAACAACCCGTGCAGATTCAAGACATTACAACCTGAAGACTAACAGCAACAAACACACACACATACTTCTTCAGAAACAACAGGGCCATGGCCACTAATCGAAAACCCACTTCATGAACCTGCTTTCCACTATCCTAGCAACATCCGAAAGCTGCTCTCAAGCATTTCAGTCACTTACCCAATGGCTCCTTCACCTTGATCTTCTTAACGTTGGCAGTCACGGTAAGGGGACGAGCGGTCCTTGGCGTCGTCGTCGACAAGGTTGGCAAGCCCAGCACGGAAGCGCCGGAGAACGCAGACACAGAAGCGAGAGCGGTAGTGGCGGCCATTGCTGCAGAATTACTTGCACAATCACTCCCTCACTCCCCCACTTGTCTTGCACTTCGTCAAGACACAACGGCACGGAGTCCTTCTGCATTGCTCCTGCTTTCTATGGTTCCAGGAGCCGACTCGGGCAGGCACCCGAGCTCGGGTTCTGCGCCCGTGCTGCAGTCCTGCACGGGTATTGGACCGGTTCTGATCCTGGTCGCATCTGACCGTCCAGATTAGACGCGATGACCCCTTGCGTGGCCGCGTGGCCGGGCGTGTTTTGGAGCGGTGGGGAAGAGCACAGGGGGAGGGGGGGTGCAGATAGGGCGTGGGGGTTGGGGGTGGGGGGTGGGGGTTGAGTGGCCACGGGAGATCACCTATCCACATTGGAGAGGGGGGGGGGGGGCTGGCTGATTTTCGACCTCCTACTCCGCTCTCCCTCCCTTTCTCCCTTTCTCCTCGGTCTTGGGCTCGGTCATGAGCCCACTACCAATGCCCCGTTTCTTGGTCATAGATCCTTGAGGACCCTAAACCGTGGATCTCTGCTTCTTTACACCGTCTTCCTATGATCCATATCCTCAAGCTCAAGTTCCCTAAGTTCCTCATGTTCCCTTTCGAGCTTTGGGGGAGATTCTTAACAGCTTCAGTTCTAATCCAAAGGGTATAATAGAAACTCAAATATATATACATATATATGTGTGTGTGTGTGTGTACTTTTATTTAATTATAAATTTACGAATACTGTAAGGAGTCTTCTGTTTTAGAAAATGAGTTGAGAGTTTTCATGCAGGTATGGAATGATTTTTAATTAAAATTATTGTACATTAAGCAAGTAATCTAATTCCATCATTCCCAATCCATTACACTCTTGGATTTCGTTATAATTAGCACTTAGTGTTTTAATGTCCTTTTTTTTTCATTTGTTTGTGTCATTTCTTGCTTAAAATATTCTAAAATACATGAATGAATAGATGAATTCCCTCTTAAAGTTGAGCAAATGATAACCCTACAAAGATGTATTGATTATGGATTTTAGATTACAGCACCCTTGTAACCAAAAACGTTTAATGTAAACAGTGTTAACAGAGAGATCTACAAGTTTTTGAACAACATACTTAGAGTAAAATATTGAAAGAGCTTTTTGTTATTATATACTTTATTCTTTAGTTTCAAAAGGTGTCTTTTATGGAACTCTTATGATTATTTTAGCTAACAGGATAAACTCTGTGACAATTAATATATATATATATATATATATATATATATAGTTTAAAATGATTGAAAAATATTATAATTTGAAGTATTTCTAAACAATACTTGCATAAGTCTCCATGAGTGATTTTTACACATAAAACACTAAGATTAGACAAAAATACTTGATTGAATTAACTACTATATAAGATTTGATCCTAGAATTTACACAACACCAAATGAAATAAAGATTGATCTATAATTAAATATTAGTATTTTACACAAACTCTAACCATAAATAAAATAACATTAAAGTAAAGTTATATATATATATATATATATATTATAAAATTTTTTAAATATGAAAAGGATAGTTTTGAATCTATTTATTTTTTATATATACATAATCTAGTAATTTAATTAAAATTATTGTACATTAAGCAAGTAATCTAAATCTATTATTTTTTATATATACATATTTTTAAAACATTATGATATGCAAATCAAAAACATTGATTTTTTTTAAAAATAAATTCAATATTTGGTTTATAAAAAAATTACGCATATTTTTAAAATGGAATTTTACTATATATATATATATTAAATAATGTGATATTCCATCTAAGTTTAATTTTAAAATATCACTATTCCATCTAAGTTGCAAGAAACTATTTTACTTATTGATAAAATTTATGTACTAATGGCATGATTGTAAGTCATTATATTCACAAATAGATAGTTCATGGCATCGTTTACAAATAATAGTACAGTTCATGTCATTTTAATGTCACTCATGCAATTCACTACCAAATGTTTGAGTGGAAATATTCCAAATTATTTTAACTGCTTTCAATTACTTGTTTTCCAATTAATTTTGAGACACAGTTCATATGCACAATCAGTCAAGATTACTCTCAAACACAGAAAGCAGTTGACGAGATTGCACTTTTATTTTATTTATTTATTTTAATATTTCTGTTAGATTTTATTCTTCCACATGCTAGTGACCCATAACTGTTCACAGCTACAGAACGCAGAGGATTCATTCTAAGCTCGCATGACTCAAAGTAGGGATGGCTTCAGGCATATTCCGGTGAAGAATATGGTTGGGAGGGCAGGCACGTTTCCATGCGGAACGGGTCTCCTCCACCGAGCTGAATTCTAGAGTTGGCTTCTCAGCGAGCTTGCAGACCCCCTTCGACTTAGTAACCCTCGCCATTTCGCAGTTCACCTCCTCGCGTGGGATCGAGGTCCCTGCGCTGCTGCGTTCGGGCGTAGATCGGGCGCAAACTAGTTTTGTATCTCTTGTCATTTTGCAGGCTTATGTTAGTGTTGGATTGGCTTTGTTGGAAGTGTACAAAAATTCGCCATTTTCACGAGAGAGTTTTTGCGGTGTGGTGGCCTTGTTCTTCTGTATTCGTTTCTGTTTTTTCTTTTGGTTGTGTTAGTGTCGTCGAGAAAAAATTAGGTCAAAATGACGGAATCCGTCCTTAGAGGCCAGAAGGGCATGACCAGCGTGAAGGAGATGCCCGTGTTGCAGGATGGACCTCCACCTGGTGGTTTCCCTGCTGTTCGGTACGCAAGGAGGATTGCCAATACGGGTCCCAGCGGAGTTACGGTGCTTCTGGTGTCCTCTGCTATCATCGGTTGGGGAATGTACCAAGTCGGCCAAGGCAACATTTACCGTAGGTACGCATTTTTTAGGTCTTCTATGTCGTGATCAGGGTTGCTCGTGTGCATGCGATTGTGCGCTCCTTGAGCATAAAGATAGTTTTACAACGAATCTAATCGGTCTTATATTGTTGTTTCCGTTAGAAACATCAAACTGCGTACACTCGCCCTTAGTTTCGTTTTTGATTTTTAATTTTAATTTTAATTTATTTATCTCATATTGTAGGGGCTTGAAAGCTGAGAAGATTGCTGCAAGACAAGCTATATTACCTCTCATCCAGGCTGAGGAAGATGCAAGGTTTGATTCCTACATTCTGCCTCTCAACTTTGATTTCAGGATCCCGCTGAAGTGGTTGGATAGTATTGAGCATTACGGTGACGATTAAAATTCATCTTGGATTACTGATACTGCATCCTTAGCTGCAATTTAATCGTCTCCGTAAATGCATCGAATGCAGGTGTCGTGTCAAATAGTTCCGATTTAAATGTTTTACGGCGTCAACCCTAAATTGACCTCACATTAGGTAGCATCCTGGAACAAAGTATTCTCTCATCGTCAACGCCTCGTTTTGCACCATACGTTGAAGCAAGAGGTTGTACAAGTATGGATATCTTCAGCTTTCTTCGAGTAGATCACATAGTATGCCCACACTTGAACAGCACTAGATGCAGGTTAATAATCAGGAGTTAGTATTATCAGCAATCATATTTCAGTATACGCTTTACCGTTTCACCATGGGCACAGTAGTGGCGATTGCTGCATGAATATCAAGATACATATCCACTTCCTGTTTTGAATTATGCTTACGTTACCATGCAATAACAAGAGTTGGTTGATCTAGTCAATGTACACTCTGTCGTGATGCTGTCTTTTTTTTGGGGTTTTTTGTTTGCTGTTTTAGCATCCGTTCTTTTTTCTTTTTCTTTTTTGTCAAAATTGATTCTCCATTGATGATCTTCGCGTCCCTGAGTCAAATTTTTGACTGCCGGTTTCGACCTTCCTCATTTCTTAAATATGTTTGTTGTAATGCAGGTTTGTTAGAGAGAAGAACAAGCTTTTGGAAGAGGAAGCCAAGGTGATGGCAAACGTGCCTGGCTGGAAGGTCGGAGAGAATGTATACAATTCTGGGAGATGGATGCCCCCATCTTCTGGTAAACTTGGCATGGATTCATAAGCGAGTCGGCAGTTTGTTTTGCTTCTCAGCCCATTTTGATCTGAATAAGTGGCTGTTTTCGAGTTTCCTTACTTCTATAGGGATACCATAGCAGATAATTTGTTTTGCACATCGATGCAAGCAAACAAATTTCAGGTCGATGTCAACCTCTTGCATATTGGAAGGGCGTTTTTCATTGCTAATACCATTACTAAGGTGGTGTTTCAAATTATTCCCTGTGTTTGAGAACACTGAGCAGCTATCTCATTTGGAGCGTTTTTTCGTGTTTCACAGATAGCATACACATTATTTTCCAGTAGTTGACTTATGAAGGAAGAAGCGTGTGCAAGTATCTGGTGCGGTAATGGATTTAGTCTGACGTAGAATGACTTATCCAAGTTCTACAGAATCAGTGTGTTCATCCGTCCAATAATTTGGATACTTCCGATCGTAGTTTTAACAGAAAAAGTACTTCACTTACCAAATGGTGGAGATGAAGGAGTATGGACGGGTGAATTTGGGGCATTTGTGTTGCATTGACGGTATTAGTCATTCTCCTTTTTCTTTCATATGGTGTCGACAGGATAATGCGAGTTTATTTTCCCATGCACGAGGCGACTTTTTCCAAAGAGTATTTCATGAATATGTTTCCATTGCATGGATTTCTTCTTAGGCCAGTCATTGATAGGTGCTACGTTTCAACGTCAAATGTCCTCACCGAATCACGATGCTGAAACGCAAAATGCCGGAGGAATATTTCGCAGGAAAGCCAGCAACTTAGGTCTTCTTACAAGACCCGAATGGAAGGGGACCCAATGGGAAGTGAGAAAAACCACCTTGCCTATGATTGATAAACAATACGAAGGATATGTGACCAGAAGCTTTGATGCCCAGAATTCAATTAGTCTCAGTGCTCTTGTAAAATGACCAGATGCTAATTATCGAACTGCAACACGGACAGAAAAGACGGCTTACAGGCTGAACGTCAAATGTTGAGCCCTAAGGAAAATGTTCTTTTAGACTGACCCATCTGTGGATTACTGCAATTGAGTGTGCAAAGCAAACGGCATCAACAAGACCATGATCTGATAAATCTAGAGCTGAAGTCAGTGGGAAAGCAAGATGGTTCCTAAGCAACATAAGATGAGTACTTAAAATTGAAGCAATTATGTAACATTACCATCATCGTTTTTCCATGTGGTTTTCTTGCAGTTCTCTTAAAGCCTAAGTAACTATGGTGTTTCCTGCCCTGGTCGGAGATACAAACCAACCATAATAAATTTCTGCCTCTGGATTATAATCCTATAAGCTTCAGGAAGCCACTCTCTTCCGCAAAACTACTGTTCTCCTCGAGAATAAGGCAGTGTGACCTGGTCGAGATCAGCCACAGCATGGCAGACCAACACAAAAAATTAAGGAATGCAAGCTACTGAGCTAACACCGAAGACTTTTCAGGCAGATCATGGGTAACGATTCTTTGTCGGACGGCATGCTCTGCGACCACGAGGAGATTCGCAGCGGCGACACCCATATTGTGCAACATCATTCACTTTCTCGATAGAAGTTGTTGAAGGAATCAAGAGCAAGGTCTGTAGGCGGATGTTTTGATGAAGAAAGAGGGGAAGGACGAAAGAATGAATGGCCTCCGCAGAGTAGCGCTTACTCTGCTGGCCGCTAAACCCCCGCACGCATCACCTCTCCTTCAACTCCGCCTCAAACTCCTCGAGCTTGCGCCGTATCTTGGGCAAGAACAATTTCGTCATCGTTTGCGTGACCCTCTTCCTCTGCGCCGAATCCGTGACATCGGAAGGACTAATGGTGACTTGTAACTCCAGATCGTCGAGCTCGCCATAGCAAGCCTCAGGCACCTTCATCTTGCCTTCAACAGCCTTCTTCTGAGCCCCGGGCTTCATGTTGATCGCATACTTCATCTCAATCTCGAACGTGTAACCTATCCGCTTCCTCTGCCGCACTGTGACCAGCGACGCATCGCCGCTACAGCTTGTCACCTCCGCGACCTTGGCCGTGCCCTCCTCGAACTCCACGGGCTCCACCGTGAGCAGCAGCTCCTTCACCCGGCTCCCCGCCCAGGAGCTCAACACCTTCTCCTCCCACGTCCCCGCATGATTCCACATGGATCCCACCGTCGTCGACTTCACATTCCCATTCCCCGCCACCTCTTCGGACGTCAGCCTCTGGGGTACAGGCTTCGGCGCCGCGCCCGTCAGATTCCCCCTCACCCAGTACCTATACGACGAGTTCTTCTTCAAGTCCTTCTCCTCCTTCGTCCCCGCCATCGCCTGCTCCTCCACACTCGCCATCATCCGCTCTCAACACAACCCCCCTACCCACCGAAACAAACTTTTCTCTACGCCCACTTCAACGGCAGAGACACAGAAAATGTGTCCGACTGTCGATCTGTTTTCAATGTCTTGCAACAAAAAGTATGAGGTGGCGGAAATTCTAGAAGGCTCTTCAAGCCGCGCCTGGTTTCGTATTGTGGAGCAAGAAATGGGGGGCGCTGGTGGTGGTCGTCGGAGGGAGTTTGTGGCATTCGCTGCGCCTGGGCCCACGTCCTCTGTTTTAGGTCATTCAAATGAACGTGTTGAGCTTTTTTCTCTTGGGGGGGGGGGGGTTACAACTAACCTTCCCGAGGGTTCCATTTTGCAGGAAGGCGATTACAATTCGCCTTTCGGTTGGTCTTCCCTTGTAGAACAGTGTTCTTTTATCACTCGGAAACCCTTCAGTAAATACTGGGTCTAATGGACATACAATCCGGTGTCCACTACGGTAGCAGTATTTTTAGGGGTTTCGAGGTCTTGTTGGTGTGTATTTTCTGTATACGAATATTAACCTCCTGGGTTTTCAAGCACACAGGAATTGACGCCTCCAGAGAATCAGTAATTGCCGGTAGCGAAAATGTCAACGATGACGGATAGGCATGTGTTCAGAAGCCAAGGGGAGAAACAACACAAACAGATGCTGTTGAGTCCTTTCTGAAAGGTTCCGTGTTGGCTGATTTGGTTTGAGATTTGTAGGGCCAATGGAAGATCAAGACTGATGGGCAACCTAACTGTCGAAGCGGAGGTACAAGGTCTTTTGAGTCCTGCCGAGTCATGGCCTTGTGGGTTGCACTAAAGTCCACAGCAGGGAGCGTCCTTAGTTATTCGAATAAATGGGGCACGCAAATCCAAAAGTGGCTTCTCATTGCCATTGCTCGCCCAGCCACGAAAGAAAGCGCTTTACAATATGGACAGATTAGGTCGACACCGCTCCATGCTCCTATCTTCACGAGATGGAAGAGTGAGAAAACTACTGCAAATCTGATTAACCCTAACTCGTTCGTCAGTGCGATTGCTGCATTTAATCCTTTCTTACGTGACCGCAAATCATCTGACGTAGCGGTTCTGTTCTTCGTTCTCTGACCTGCTCGATGATGCTGATGCATCGCACGAACTGCCAACCGGAGACGCAGCGTGAATAGAGTACCACCTTAACTCTGCACCATGTACTCAAATCTGAATAATTGCAATGCATTGCTAGGCTCCCACAACTTCACGACAGAAACTGGAAGAGGCTCCCGTTGTGTAAAACATTAAGAGTACGAGGGAATGAATGCAGTCTCCACGCTGAAGTGTACGCAAGAGCTCACCCAATACAATCTCAATTTGATAAATACATTTGTGCGAAGTCCGCAAGCACACCGTAGTCATACTTCTCATGATTCCTGTTCGTTTCGGCGGCATTTTGCTGCCACAAGTTGATGGTGTCGGTAGAGTGGCAGGATGTCGGTAACGTGTCGGTAGCGCAGTAAATTGAGGGTGCCCTTGCTGGAAACCTTGTCCGTGCTATCTAGCTTTGGCATGATTTAGCACATGTGGTCAAGTGTGATACAAGAATCATGACATAATACTCAATGCAATGGGTTGCAAGTAAATCACTCTTTCAAGGTTTGGAACAATTTTAAATTGCAAAGAATGGCATGTTGTACTCACATACTCATATTGCAAAATGGCATTAAAGAGATTGGCACTTCACAATACAACTATGCTTAATGAACCCTTGTACAGGGTAAACCATTGTTGTGTTAAAAAATGTGTGTGTGTATATATATATATATATATATATATATCATCCTTGTAGTGATCCACATTTGCAAGCTTGTGGTTTTTATAATGTTCATCAATTTGTCAACTACATTCCTTAAAACCCCTTGAGGTGAATAATATATAAGATTATCTCTCAATTACTTGTTTGCAGATAAAAAATAAAAATAATTTTTTTGACTCATAATAGAATAATGTTTAAGACACACAAAGTAGTTGTCCATAATATTTGTTTTATTTATTCTCATAATATATTGTACAATTAGCTTTTAGAGCCCAAAAAAAACCAGTAAATCAGTAAATAATCACAAAAAAAAAAAAAAAAAAAAAACATCCACATTTCTTGTTCAATTTAGGTGTTTAGAAATGTTTCATTTTTGGGATTTTTTAAATTTTTATTCAAAATGTTGTTTTGTAAAAAGAATAAGAATTTTTCTTAATATTTAAAAATAAATAAAAATATATTTTTAAATAATTGAGGCAAAACATGTACTAACTCTACAAAAATACAATTAAAGAATTAAAAACCAATTTCCACCTGAAGAATTGCAAGAACTTACAACCATTTTTTGAACACACCAAAACAGTAAAACCAAAATAAAAAAATAAAAAGTTTTGAAAGATTTCAAAATTATATTGGTTCAAAATGTCATACTTCAAAAAACCTCATGTTGAGTTATTTGTGATAGAGCAAGGGACCTATGACGCATTAATTAACTTCTTTGCCATAATACACGCCACTAGTGCCATGGTCAATAAAATCAACAAATTGATTACCTTACATCCAAAGCATTGCAAATATCTTATTCTTAAACTAATCAGTATTACTGCTTTTTAAAAGCATTAATAATCAGTGATGCTGGTTGAGTTAATTATGTGACAATTTCAATAAACTGAAATGTGGTGCAAGTTCTTTACTAAATTAAATAAAAATTAGGTATTTTTAAAATATATACATGCTATTATTATTGTTGTTGTGCATTTGTTCAGTAAGTATCTCCAAAGTTCTTAATATTCGTTTTTAATTTTAAAAATATATTTTAAAAGATGCTACATAGCTTGCTTAACAGATAAGTAAATGAAACATACTTGAAGCTTATAGAAGCATACTTATTAATACTTCTGTTGTAGCAACGTCAGAAGGTGTATTTATAACATTTATGAGGTCAAAACTTCTTCAAAATCGGACTGAAGCATCATCCAACCACACCAATTGTTTATTTGAAATGATACCAACGTTGACTTTTATTTTTATTTATTTATTTATTTTTCACTTTCTTCTCCTATTTGAATCTCTTCACTATACTATAAGTACACATCTGTCGAAAAAGAGGGAGAGAGTGAGGTCACACTGCATCACAATTTGAATGTGCATAGGTTGAAAGGAATCTTCCATGGATCATTGCTAGAATTACCAGAATCGGTCTGGAAGCTATAACTGAGTGGGTATTCCGACATCAGAACGTGACGCTCGAGTATAACGAACTCTGGTTGGTCTCGTGCATTATACAAGAAACGGATTTACTGTAAAATAAATAAATAAATAACACCCGCCCACGTGATGGACCATAGAGCGAAGAAGAGTGCCCAGATTGTTCCCCAACCTCTTTCCAGCAACTTCCTATACCTTCACTAAATGGTATTCTATGCGATCGCCAATTCAGAGATAAACTACATGTGGAGTTGGGCATTATTGAAAAGACATCAAAGGGTGTGTAGAAAAGCATGAGCCTGAAAGCAGAGAACTTACTCAAAATGACTAAACGTGGGTCTAAGCTATCCAACGTCTCGGAACCATTCAAGCGTTACACAACTTCTACAATGTCAATGTCTGCACATCCTAAGACTGAGCGTCTCGACTTCTCGCTTCAAATCGTTCCCGAGAAAATAAGTATTACCGGAGCAATAAGTCAAGGTGCCTCATACTTGCTGCACCATAAGATATAGCTTCAATTATCGTCCACGAATCCAGAGGCAATGCCAAGGAATTTGACAGTTTAACTTCTCTAACTATTGTGCGAAATTATTACACCAAGGAATGGGAAAGTGGTGTGTTCCGTGAGGTTGAGGGTACTGATCCTCAGGCACCGAGGCGTTCTTCTAAAGCTGGAAGGCTGCTTAACTGCATCGAAGTAGATGCTAGAAGCCAATGCCCTCTTCAGGTATTGTTGGTTTCTAGGTTACGAGTGGTAAATCTGCACCCAAGTTTGAAAATGTTTCTTACTAATCGTAATGTTCCCTGTTAAATCAACTTATGATGTTCCCAACAATACATCAGAATATATATCACACTTCGCTCTGGAACTGAACAAGGAGAGAAACTGTAAAACATAATGGATCATCGAGTCTTGAAATTATATAACGGAATCACAGAGAAGTACGACGAAGCAGATCACCTGGATAACTGTTCTGTGATGCTTTGCAAACAAGTCCAATCCCCTCGATCCTTCCAAAAGCATTGACGGCAAAGCTGCAGAACTCACAAAATTGAAAAGACACCACCAACCACATGACTACGAGACAAAGCTGTCCGAGGACTGTACTCAATGTAGTCTGATATTGTAATGTAAGAAACAATGTACACTAAATGTATAACAAATCCTGTCAAAACTCACCAAAATTGATGGCTTGAATCCAAAACATAAAACTTTGAGAATTATGCAAAACTAAATTGCACCTATCACAATACGGAGTTTGTCAATCCAAGCAGTAACTATGCTACACAGTAACACGCAGTAGAACAAAGATGAAAACTATTAAGTTTACACGAGAGTAATGATGAAAGAAATCTTTGAGATATGCGCCTCGAGATAAGAAGAATATAGATGCCAGGCATTTAAAAATCCCAAGCTCTGTATTGATTTCGTCAAAGCCATGAGAGACTAACATAGCATCCAGGAGATGCAGTATCAACGGCATGATCCTCTACCAATCAGTTCATTGGGATTTACTTGAACAAAGGCTCATAGTAAACCTAAACTATCGTCTACGTCCTAGCAGCAGCGCTAAACACATATTCTGTAATTAACTCCAATAATAGCTCGCCTGTTAATTTTTGTGGCAGCCTTGCCTGATAAAGGAATGTAGAAAAATCATTCACGTAGATACGTTTTATGAGTTAGCTCAGAGACTTGGTGAAGTCTGTGCGATTCAACTCCATCCACTCCGTCACTTCACCCACGAGGGCTGCCCGAAAGATAGATCACAACCAAAGGTAACATAAATTCACTCAATTTTACCATGAGAAGCAATAAGTTCAATCTTGCCTGAGTTTATGTTTGGAAGTTGCTTTGCCTCACGGAACGGTGGCTACCGAGTGAGGCATCACTACAAAACTGGAGAAGAATTTGGGATACTTCCCACAAACAAAACTGCGAAAACAAACTGGGATGTTGGTGGCCATAATTCTGCGTCAGTTGCTGTCCATAAACGCTCCTGCAGCCCGCCTAGGCTCGCTCTTCCTCCGGCTACCCTGACGTCTGGTAATCACTGGCTTGATTGGTTCGTCCCTGTTGATTTCATCAACCTTATCGGCTGAGGAATCGTCTCCATTCATTGTGCGACTACGTTTCTTTCCCGAGTCCGTCACAGACAACTGGGATATGTCGTTGCTCACCACTTCAGCCTTTAACTCCTCTACAACAGGAGCAAGAACCTCTTCCTTTGGAATTTTCCGAGGCCGACCTCTTTTTTTCGGAGCAGGAGCAGGACTCGACGCACTACTCGCAGCAATTTCCTTGGATTCAGCAGGTCCACCGTTTGTAACCTTCTTGTAAACTATCTTTGCCCGGCCCATCTGCATTGAGAAGTAGAGATACTTATCGTCAGGTACTAATGAATCAATGCTTCAGCTGTCTCAATTCATGAAGTTAGACAAGCGCAATAAATGCAAGTTCGTCTCATATCTATGTCACTTCATGTCCGCCTCCAAAATGCAAAAGAGCAGGTTTGAAATACATCAGGCTAACTACCAAGACACGAAATAAAATTTCATGAGTGAGAACAGACTGTTCCTCAAACTATTCCATGTTATTCAAAATACAGCATCATAACACATGCACTGAAGAAACGCTCGTGCTACATACCTGGATTGAACTGGCGGATGATGGCTCTGTCGTTCAGAATAAATCGAAAACGCTTAACAAAACCTGGATAGGCCGGTTGGGACAATGCTGAGACGCACGCAGAGTGGATTCGACCTCGGAAATGAAATGGAAATAAATCAGGGATAGCAGAAGCTGAGGCCAAACCAGGGTAATGAAAATAAACTGCAGGATAGGCCACCTATACCAGAAAGTAGACCCTCTCCGATGAGACTTTTTCTAAAACACAGAAAAACTCGATTTCAATATCATAAACCCAGAAATTATGGGTCAAAAGAAGATAAACTAAATTAGTTGTCCCCAAAAATAATCTGGTAGCCCGCCGCTAACCGAAGGATCCCTAAATGAAAACAGAGGGAATCGTTGGAAGATAAGATTGACCAATGTAGCGAGAAGGTCCAAAATTTGGAGAATAATCTCCTGAGAAAACCTTGCGAGCGGTTGACAATGACGAACTCGAACGTTCAATCGTCAATCGATTTCTCGAAAGACCAAATATCAATGGTAGCGTAGAGGCGATGGGATTGACACGATATGAGACCTAAAGAAATACGACACTCTGCAATAAAATAAAGGAAAACTCTGGAACGCTGAAACCTCCTTTAAAAATGCCCAGTACAAGTAGAATGAGAGAGCGCTATAGAAACAGAATGTGGAAAGAAGTCAACTCTCAAGGCGGTGTCTCTTTACGATTTAGACCTAGCATATTCATTCGGCTTAACCGCAGAGACCGATAATATTTGCCTATGAAAGACGGCAAGACAATGACGTGTTACGGACGCACTTGAGAAATAACTCGACAAAATAAGACATCCAAATACAAAATTGACTGCAAAAGAAATGTGTAGAGCGTCTCACAAAAGACTTTGACTACAGCTGTCTCAAACGATCCAGCAGATACGAGGTTGGCATGACTGTGCTTAGCAAGGCTGGAATATCGCAACGCTGAATGAAATTGGATAGGAGAGAGCACCACGTTGCAAGAGAGAAGATAGTGTCCGCCGTTGAGAAATGCCTCCAACCAAATGGAGTTAGGCTTCCACAAAGAAATTGTTGAAAGATTTCACACAAATCCGAAGAAATCCAATATGTAGGTGGAAATACGGAGGAATAAGCAGCACAGCAAAGAAGACCGAAAATCTTCCGAATAAAATTAGGACACTGCTGGATAGGAAATTGGTCTCAAGAGGAATAATGAGTAACCGGGACTAAAAACAGATTGCCTTAAGAAGGCTAAAAAATCCTTGAGGCAGACATCGCCAAAAAGATCCAGAATGAAGCACGCCACAACGCAGGAGCTATTGAGAATGAATCCAAGTCAACATGTTGAGCTCTAAAATCCATGGCAACAATATAACCCTCCTGTGTGTAGCACTCCTTTGATTCGATAAACTCGAGCTTCACATGACGATCCACACAAAATTTGAAAAGAAATAAATAAGAAAAAACCTCACGAACACGAAGACAAGAAGAAAAAATAAAAATAAAATAAATAAATCAATAAATAAAACACCTGCAACACAAAACGGATTCGTTCAACAGATAAGACGGCGAAACCGCTCACTGCGACGCATATCCACGCAGGATCTCAGCTCCTCGAAATAAATACACGCTCAAACCCTTATCCAACTGCACGAAACACTCCGCAATAATAAAAGAAGAAAAAAAAAACAAAAAAAACAAAAAAAAACCGACACCACTCGACCAAAACACCATTACCAAAAGGCACTTCTCCCTTCCAAAACCAAAAAAAATCGGGAAAATTTCTGAGGAACGCGCTACGCCGCCAAAAATCCTCAGTAAGATCCTATTCCATCCCACGCATCGACAAATCCTATTAGTAAGCATTCACAAACCTCACCACTGCGCCACAAAATACTCATACATACATCTGCGCACTTGAATCGCCCTTACAGGCGGGGATTGTATTCAAAAGTGCTCAAAAATATCTCTTAAGACTCGGAAGAGATTTCTCTATCCGTTGTGATTATCAACTCGAGCTCGCGGCCGCTATTGGCACCAGCAATCGGCGCAAGAGTGGAAGGGAGGGAGAGAGAAGAGGAGAAAAGAGGAGGAAGTACGAAGAGGACTCGTCTCTCTAAGACCAACGCAAACAAACACCAACGCATACACAAGACGAAGGGGGGGCACCAAAGGACTGAGCCTTGAGGGGACCATCGATTGACCCCCGGTTCCAATCTGACCCATTCCCGGGTATCTGACACCCAGCCTCTCGCTGGACACATCCATCCATACCCCCGCGCGCTCTAAATGGGGGCACTTCTGCTGGGGCCCGCCCTCCTGCAGATAATGATCCGTCCGGGGCCGGTTCCGCCCGGAATGCGCATTCTCTAGTCCCCGTTGGCTAGATAATGCTTGCGAGATGGAGCAAGTTCCTAGACGGAATCTGTGCCCGAGACCCTGACTGCGCTCACCTCTTCCCGCGGTGACCCGTGACCGACCACGTGACGAAAAACCAATACACAGGTGCCCTTCACCACTCTCTTTATGTGGCGACGCCCCGTCGGTTTGTTCCCAATGTGAGGGATCGGCGTTCCCCATGACTAATATCGATGCCCTTTTCAATCAGAATTGTGGTGTAGATAACCCATTGAGAACCTCCATGTCTCCACGCTCTGATTGTTCCCCACGTTCTCTTACTTTTCTTTTCTTGTCATCGTTTTATTTTCTTTTTCTTCTCATTCTCGACTTTTTCTTTGTGTGCAAGGGGGAGGGGCCAATTGGCACATTATGCACCTCTTTGCAATTTTAATCCATCCCCCAATTTAAGTACATTAAATATTTCACATTGAGGCGTGATTCCAACATATGTAAAATAACATATATATTTCCCAAGTGTACCACCTCCACTTTGAAAAGAAAAAGAGAAATTGCCAATGGGAACTCATATTTGTTTTCTTCTTCTCAGCATGAAAATTGAATGTGACTTGTGGTAAGTTCATAGAATGACAGAAATAAAGACTTCTGTCAAGCTAATGGTTGTGAATAATAATAATGGTCAACACCACATGCACCCCATTTTTATTTATTTCTATATATATATATATATGTGTGTGTGTGTGTGTGTGTGCTTCCTTTGTGAATAGGGCTACATGGCTTCTACATCAAGGGTTCAAGCTTAGAGGCCACTGATGGGTGAGTGTTTCAAAGTGCTATCACTAGCTATTCTTTACTTTTACCATTGTGTACATGTATGTAACATTGATTTGAAAAGTTGTATGATGGTTGCATACTTTTGACATAGGAAACAAAAATAGAACTAGAAATATATATATAAAAAAAATTAAATGTTTTTATTTAGATTTTATTATTATTTGTAATGTTCTAACCCCAAGCATAGAGTCATCTTCTGAAAATAAATAAATTCAGTGTTTTAAAACACATCAAATTTGTTCATAGTAATAACAAGGGATTCTGCAATGAATAGTACGGTTTTTTTTTACAAACAGGCACAATGTAATGGAACAGAGTTTTGTTTTACATCTGCATTTCATTCTCTAACACTAAATCTTGTATGTGTACATATAAAATATATATATATATATATATATATATACATATGATTAATTTTTTTTAAATCACAAAAAAAATAAGAATAAAAAATTGCAACATGGAAATTTAATCTACTATAATGTTGAATATTCTTAACATTTCTTTTACTGTCAAAATCCAAGCTGTGTAAATAAATAACGGGATTAAAAAATCAAATCAAATCACAGAAGCTTCTGAACCAGTTAAATCAAAATTATGTAATGATTAATTCAACCTCAAAATCTTCAAGAATTACACAAAACCACAATACTCACTGTAAATTAGAAAACAATACAAAAAAATCACCATGTTGGTTTTATTATGTGTGTATATATGTATGTATTGAAAATAAGAGGATTTTTATAATCTTATATGTGTCCAAAATGAAACGTTGAATCAATTCACAATTGAGGAATTGAGGATTTAAAAAATATTTATATTTATCAAGGATGACAACTCGGGCAGAAAGCTGCCCGTGATAATTTTGCTGTCAGTGGCAGTCCTGATGAGAACAGGATTGGATTCTGCACACACTTGTTCTGGCAATTCAAATATGGACAAATAAAATAAAATAAATCACACGAACAAACAATTGAAAAAATGGGACTAGATTCTATTATCAAGTTATATATGGCGTTCGATAAAAAATAAAAAAATAAAAAAAATTGCCATTTATATATATATATATATATATATATATATAATCCTAAAAAGAATGGAAATAAACGAGTTGCATTATTTTAATCAAAGTTGGTGCCTTGAATATTCCAAAACGTAATTTCCAATTGGAAATTGAAGTAGAATTTGTATGTATGTATCAATGCATGTTATATAACCAATGAAAGGCACCAATTGGTCAATGAATACTAACCAACCTGTTGAAAGATAAAATTGAATTGATGAATGGATGCATGATCATTATAAAAATATTAATAATAACAATAATAATGTAAACAATGGAAGAAAATTAAGAACCAGCACAAGAAGATATATATATATATATATATATAAATATAAATTGATGAAATTAGAGTTTTAAATCCTACAAAGGCTACTATCAAGTATCTTTCACATGGTTACAACGATAAATTTAATTTAAGCTCCGCTCAGAGAAATGTTTCTAAAAATTATAGTAATTCCTCATACATTTCCACAGGGACTTCACCAAAGTTGGGTTTTGTATGTGCCAAACAGCCATAAAAATCCTCCCTTTCGACTCCTCAGTTTGTTTTTTTTTGTTTCGTGTTTTTGTTTTGTTTTGTTTTGTTTTTTTGTATTTTTTGTATTTTTTTTTGTTTTTGTTTTGTTTTGTTTTTTTTTTTGTTTTTTTGTTTTTGTTTTTGTTTTTTTTTTGTTTACAATTGCTGGGGTGTTTTTCCATTGATTTTTTTACCCACTTTTTTATAAAATTTCATGCTTTATTTATCTTTATTTGTATATACATACAATTTTGTTAAGGATTCATCACTTTAACATATTACTTCAAGAAAAAGGTAGATGTTTATTCTTCAAATTTTGACATTCATCATTTTCAAAAATTATAACCTAACAGAAATTTGAATGGTAAAAGTGTTTGGTCACCTTTAAGTATTATATTCTTATTATAAATATACGTTTAAATATATTTATAAATATAAATAAAACAAATATATATACATATATATATATATATATATATATATATTAAAACCACAACATTTGAACCAAGAGAATGTAAAGTTAGAAATGTCAAGGTTTCCAGAGTTTGTATTTAAGGTTAAGTCACAGTGGTTGTTTTTGTATAATGAAATAACACCCAACTAATCAGAACATGGTTTTCCTTAGAAATCTTTCAAAACATTTCATGCATTGGAAAGATTTCGAAGGAAAATAACACAAATGAATGCGCTTGAAACAAGATTGAACTATTATATGGAATACAAGTTTCAATATAGTACAAAATTATAAATTTCTGTACGTGAAATAAAAATTCGGACAAGGTAAAATCAATATCATAAGGGACACTGCATAAATTAGTTGAAATTAACAACGGTTATTTTAAAAAATAAAATATCAATATTTATTAACATGCATGTAGAAGATAATTTTTATGTGAATACATGTGAATACATTACTTATAGAGATTAAAATATACCTTTTAAAATCGTATTAAATGTAACCTGTTTGTTTGAAAGTAAATTCATACACCGAAAAATCTTGATTTTTTTACACAAACATGCAAATTACTGAATTGCAGGATGAAGACCTGAATAATTTGAATAAAAAGGCGAACTTATTTGAAAATGTCCTTATAGAATAAAATTTCAGAACTTTTAAATTATGTGTTTTTTCTTGTGAGGAATGTTTTTAATGGCTGATTTCTCTGATATGAGTTTCATCGACTGATTACTTCCATAGCATTAAACTTCAATTTCAATAGGTATCTGTCGTTTTTTACAGTAATATGAGATATTAATTAAATTATTGATTTAGTATGATCCAATAATTTAGATTGATTTTCCAAATAACTATTAATAAAAATGTAAGTACAACAAGTGCACAGACAAAATTAAAAAAACATTATAATGCAGTATTATTTTGGTTGTTATACACTTAATTTAATACATTGTCATAAAATGGATACAATGTATTTTTTTGGAAAGTTTGTTAAAAAATTTTAAAAATGAAAATAATCTAGTGTATGTGTGTATATATATATATATATATATATATAAATAAACAGTATGTCCGCATCAGAATCAAACATAGCCATTTATGAGTAACTGCATCTTTATATGATTCATGGTCATTAGTTTATTTATGCAACAGAAATTAGATTCATGAAACACTTAACATTTCTTAACACATTTAACATGACTTTCTTTTCTTCTCTTTTCTTTTCTTGCCTATTTCAAAGTGATGTGTGATACATAAAAATTTATATGATAAAAATAAAAATAAACATTTAAAATAACATAAGGTGATTGTTGGACAAAACTCTGTTTTTGTATTTCATACTGAAGATTAATTTCAGTATACTCCTTATACTAAATTATAATCCTTTATTCACATTACCTAAAAAATTATGATTATTGTTTGATTAAGCTTTGTGAATATACCTATGTTGTATGTTAGTCACAAAAAAAAATAAAAAAATAAAAAAATAAAATGCAAAGATGGTAATAATAATTATATAAATATAATTTTTTTTATTATATATATATATATATATATATATATGCTTCCCAGCATTAAAAATATTGAGTACCTTAAATGCATGGGATATACTTCTAATAAATGGTAGCAAAAATTTGTACTGTTCCAAACCATTCAATAAACAATGAATACCTCAAAAGCCCTTTTTCAAGAGTACAAGCAATACGTCCTACTTCTTTGGATTGAAGTGCATGTTGAGAATTTAAATATTATATATATATATATATATATATATATTCATACATACAATATTACCACTCCTAAGTTTTAGGATTGAATTATCTGTCAAAACATAACTTATAGTAAGTTAAAACTTACCAAGTTTAGCCAAAATCATGAATCTGCTCAAGTATCTATTTATTGCTAGCCTAATGCTTTCTCTCATGCATGCCCAATACT